GGGATAAGTCATGGTGTGCAAGATGTGTGGTGAGTCACCTACTAGCTTGCACACATGGCGTTACACGAGCTCACGGGTGATGACTAAGCCCGTGCATGCACGACACCTCGGCAATGACTAAGACAAACTTGTTCCACCTTAGCCCTTGACCGAGACACATGTCATCAAGAGGAGAATTCATCATCCATCACCCCTTTGACCCTAAATTTACCTTCGGTTTTTACCTTCCATAAATAACAAAACGTGTGGGTTTTTACCATGCATTTTCTCATGCAAAACCGAGCCATTTTCAGCGTACAAACTGAGGGAAAATAGTGAGAAAAAGTTAGAGAAAAATCATACAAAAATAGTTAAAGAAGGCCGAAGCAAAAGGGAGGCAAGTTCACGCCCAACCAAGCATCGAACACGCACGCAAATCGTCGTGCATTTCTCGACCAGTTTAAGTGGTATACTTCTTTTAATCCTCTCTTCATGTAGTTAAGATCATAGTAAGAAGATCATGTCAATACCGTATTGTTTGGTCCAAGTTTTTAGCAAAAATGGCTTCGGAGGTGCTATATAAGCCCTCTCCGAGAGATTTCAAAATCTAACCGGCAAGTCCCGAACAATTCATGAATATTTAATCAAGTTAAGTCAAATTATAATCAGTCATATGTGGGTTGCCAGAAAAAGTAGCCGGACGGCCGGCGAAAGGCTGACCGTGATGCCTACCGCACACAGCGTGCGCATAGGCACGCACGGCAGTCCCAGCGGGTATGCTGGCAGCGTGATGAAGATCGTGTATCTAGCTCAACTCGACTTGCTTCGAAAGTTGCTTTGCCACGGCTTCCTTCTCGGCGATAGGTGTGGACGAATCGGATTGCTCCTTATCTTCTCACGATAGTTGAGACAGCTCGGACGTGAATCCTTGCCAAACTCGTCTTGTTCGAACTATGCGGTGAAACGCCCTTTTCGACACAAGGATTTTGTACTAAAACTCAAAAGAATTATAACACAAGAAATTGGTGACCAAAGGTCGATTTTTCATTAATTCATTGCTTGTATAAAATTGAATGAGTACATAGGTATTTATAAGAAAAACTAGATCTAGTCCTATGAGAGCTATAATTCTAACTAGGATATAATATCTAGTCCTAAGGTAACTAAATGTCTTGCATCCCAAGACTTTAACAAAATATAAAATAACTAATCCTTACTCTAAAACACACGGCTAACTAAATATATAATTACCTAACCTAATAAACTTACTAACCTTACGCACTAACTAATACTACTAATCTAATTAAATTACCTAACCTGCTAACTATTACTAACATACTAATAAATAATAATTTACTAATTTAACAATTATGTAAATATTAATTAATCTAATTAATAAGTATCTTCTATAATCTTCGTCCCTCGGCTCGCACGACTCGCCTCGTGTGTTCGCGCATCACGCCCACGTACGCCCCCGCGTGCTTTGTCGCGCGACCCATTGCCAACTCTCGGACCGACCTCGTGTGATAAGCCCGAGTCCTTACTTTCACTCGGAACTTTCGCCCGTTGTCCCGGGTAGTGCCTCGACATCTCGATCTCCTCAGCCGTGTACGGTTCAACACGTACCGTTTCTTTTATGCTCGTGCGCCTCGCATACGGGCTCGTACCCGTCTCTTAGGCCATGCATGCGTAGTTTTGGCCTTTTTCTCGGCCTTCTCGGATCGTCTCGGCCATCGGCTCTCAGCGTGCACGGGCCTCGAAAGCCACTTCCGCATCATTCCTCCCCCCTTCGAATGAGTCCTTGTCCTCAAGGACTCGCCAATGACCATCACTTTGGGCGTCTCCACCTCTTCATCGTCCTCCATGTGTGTCTCGTCTTCTTCGATTACCGGGACCTCGATCTTATCCTCCTCTTCGTCCAAAAACTTTTTTTGCCTCGTTGATCTCCGTTCGTATTTGAAGCAACGACTTTTTTACCCGTTCGTGGTAATCGTTCAAGGTGACCTTCACATTTTCGAATTCAGCCTTCACGGATCTCAATATATCTGTCGGATCCCATTGCGATCGCCGTTGTTTTTTCTCTCTTGATTGTACCCTCTTCTCCCACGAAAGCCAACTTGATTGGATCTCTTCCTTAGAAAACATACTCATTTTTTTTTTTTTACTCTCCAAAAATAATACTAC